AACAAGGTGTGTCAATTCATGCATACTCCATTAGACAAGCATTGGAAAGCTGTTAAAAGAATATTGAGATATTTGGCAGCAACAAAGGATTATGGTTTGAAGATAAACACAAACTCCAACTTCAACATAAAGGCTTTTGCAGATGCTGATTGGGGATCAGATGTAGATGATAGGAAATCCACTAGTGGCTTGTGTGTTTATGTGCGAAGTAATCTGGTGTCTTGGAGTGCTAAGAAGCAGGGAGTTGTTTCAAGATCCTCCACAGAGGCTGAATATAGGAGTGTGGCTCAAGTTACCTGTGAAGTGTTGTGGATGCACTCTTTGTTTGATGAGTTGAAAATAAAGTCTAAAAGACCTAGTGTGAATTGGGTTGACAACAAGGGTGCAGTTTGCTTGGCAGGTAACCCAGTTAACCATTCTAGGACAAAACACTTTGAACTTGACCTTCATTTCATTAGAGAAAAAGTGGAAAACGAGATTGTTGCAGTTCAACATCTACCAGCAAGTGAACAGGTAGCTGACATCTTCACTAAAGCTATCTCTGGGCAATTCTTTGCATACTTAAGAAATAAATTGATGTTGGCTCCTAGAAGATGCAATGAATTGAAGGGGGGTGTTAAGATGACAGCACAACTAAGCCATCTCACGGCTGACGTGGAGCATGGCTGTGCATGGAGACAAACAGCTTGTAAAGCTACAGATATGGACAAAAACCAAACAAACCCTAGGATATGTTGTGTGGCTGAGATTAAATGTAGAGATGTGAATTCCTCCTCTAGTTGAGTGTACAACCATCATATATATGTTGGTGCAGAGTTAATGAAACTATTATTGTATTGAGGAAACCTTGAAACAATCGTATGAAAAGATAAAGAATTCTTATGTTATTCTTGTTTGTGAAGTCTTCATCATATTTATTATTAGCTATTATAAGACATTTTACTGTTTCCTTTATAAGGTAGTACAACAGAAGTCCCGAAGGCCCCCAAGGCAACTTCGAGACGTCCGTCGTACTACCACCGAGCATCGAGCCCTGCTCGTCGATCCTCTATGCGATGCTAACGGAGCAACCAAGCACTGTGTTGGACGATCACGCAGCAGAGCGCCCAGCCTGCATCCGTTCGCAAGCAGCCCAGCGCGAGCACGTACGCCGCACAACGCCCGCGAGACGCACGCCAAACACGAAGACGTAGGCAGCAACTGCGCACGACCCTGCGCGCAAGCGACGTACCCGGCGAACCAAGCATCCCTATGATTCGCACGCATTCCCAGGCGACAGACGAACACGCGACACGACCTGAAGGA